GAAAATATGTGGATAAAGAATCTGTTGAGTGAGTTGGGTTTTCCAGTGGACAGACCTRTGAYCCTATTYTGTGATAACAAAGCADCCATAARCATTGCTGCTAACCCTGTGCTACATGATAGAACTAAACACATCGAAGTCGACAAGCATTTTATCAGAGAGAAAATTATCACAGGGGAAGTGTGTACTCCCTATGTCAGCTCTGAGGATCAACTTGCAAAATCTTTACAAAAGGACTACACCACTCACGACATCATGACTTATGTGACAAATTGGGCATGATTGACATCTCTGTCCCAACTTGAGGGGAAGTGTTAACAGCTGTTATTTTCTCCTATGTATAATACCGCAGGGGTACTATTGTAATTTTACTCATTTTTATTTTAGTTGTTGTCGCCCTAGTATATATATTAAAAAAGCTGCGCCGCCAGTAGTATCTTTTTGCTCTCAGTTCTCTCTTCTCTCTTCTTCTCTCTCTCTTTTCTCTCTTCTTCCATTCTTCTCTCCTGCATAACAGGATTAATAAGTCTTATAGTTAAACGAGAGAAGGACCATGGTTCTAATTAGTGGGGAGCTGGTCTGCACTTGAAAATTTGTCAAATAAAAAGGACTTGAGAAATCAACCTCCAAGTTTACTTCCATTGCTAAAACCCTAATTCCAAGTATGCTAAAATGAAGAAAAATATTGTAACCTCTGAAAACGCAGGTAAAAATTCTAGGACAAAACTGTACTAGATGGAAAGATAAACAGCAATTTAGCTAAAATAAAGAAAAATAATCCAACAACCATTAAGACTTTTCCATATAAAGAGAAATATGGACGCTCACATTACAGAATCTAAAACCATAAACACAGAAGAAACAAGAAAAGTCACGAAAGGAACCCAAATGACAATAAACCACAAAACTTAACCAAATTCCACAGCGACCACAAAAGGGCAACACTTACAACAAGAACCCCTTCTTCCGCCATTTCAGTCATACCCCATCAAAAACGAATTAAGAATCAAAGTAGTTCAGTAACAACATATCGAAGGATTAACAGAAAATAAAGTAGGACATTCGAGAGAGGAACATTTTTGAATATCTAAGGGATAAGAAGTACTTACTGGGCTGAGCAGCCCAACCCTGTTCCCCACCCTTGATTCTCTCGGGCAAGGCATAATTGACGGTGAGGACTCTTCCATAGAGCTCTGCGTTGTCCATGTTGTCCATGGCTGCCGCGGCATCCTCCTTTTCGAGGAAGGTAACGAACCCGAACGAGCGATGCTTCTGCGTCGCCTGATCGAGGGGCGTCTTCACATCTTTTATTTCCCCAAAGGGAATGAACGCCGCATGAAGAATCGCCTCGTTCACCTCCTCCGCCAGACCCCCTGATCATCTCATCATTAATTATTCATCATCAGAAATGCAGGCATGAGCATCGTTGCTTACCTACGTAGAGAGTGTTCTTCTGGACCGGATAATTCATTCAGGCAAACTTCCACTTCCCTCTCCTTCGCTGCTCTCGACTCCACTTCTCTCGTTGATGCCTGCAATTTTGATTTTTGAGACTTGGGTACTTTACAGCTTTAGTTTATTTGAAGATATAAATGGGCTGGGCCGATGGGGGATAGTGGACCATTTCAACGACCTAGGACGCTTTCGACCTGGGCTTTCCTTAGCCACTCACCGATTTCTGCAATCTAAGTCAAGAATGAGCCCTTCAACCCTTGTTTTTTTTTTCTTCTGGACCTGGGCTATCATTATGCCAAGTCTAGCATTTGAAATGGACTGTTGGACCGTACAACCCATGATTTAGTGGCCAAAACGGTCCGGTCCATCCGTCCAGGTATTACAGCACTAATTACAATATTCAGGACCGCGAAAGGTTTGCTGGGCTGGAGAAGCATTTGGGAGAATTGGGAGAAATGGAGGATGGCTTTTAGTTCTGGAAACAGAGCCTGGGCCAGATGTCAGATGACCATTTGAGCTTGGTAGGAGATTAGATCGGTTTCGGTGCGCACAAGACCATGCTCACACCGTTCACACAGCCGTGCATTGAGAATACTTTCATACTTGTTGGGACTGCGGTGTGATGAGCACAGTCTTACGATTACTGAACCCAATTATGCTTTATTGTGTGTACTGTAATTAGACCTATTCATAAGCCAGGCTTTGAGCTCAGGTTTATACTGTTTTGAGCTTGGGCTTTGGATTGAGCAATTTAGGGGTGGCAAATGGGTGGATTGGGTAAGGATTGAATATCAACCCACTCATATTTATCCACCAATTCATCATGGCCCATCATCAATTCTTAATAAAGGATCATTATTCACCCTTAACCACCCTTAGCCATATTGATTCACCTACCCTTATTTATAAATACAAAAATGAGTCTAGACAAGCTATATGTCCAAAATAATAATTTTTAAAATGAATATCTCTTAAAGTTGCCACATGAAAGAACTGGGTCGGTGCTCACAAACCTGCACATAATTTTGGCCCAAGCCTGGCACAAAACAAACCTTATGCCTGGTTGATCCACCATGGCCCAGAAAATATTGTATTATAATATATATATATATATATATAGTATTATATCTTATATGTACGCACATTCTTTTGGTAACATTGTAATATATTACATACAGAATATAGTATTTTACATAAAATCTGAAAATATAAGAATAGTTTATTCTATCTATCTTAAATTTTATATGTTTTATTTTACATATAAATTATATGTAAAAATGAAAACATATTTATTATTTGAAAATAAAAGAGTTATTATTTATATAAAAGTATTAAATAGACAATTTAAGATTTAGTTTTTCCCACAAATTAAAAAAAAAACTGAATTAAAATAATTTATTTTATATATGTTTTATTTTACACGAAGAGAGAGAAGGGGAGAGATTCTTGTTTGATATGGCTTGCTTGCTAGGACTGTCTGTACTTTCACCACTCACGGAGGTCTTGCTAGCTCACGCATGTGTCTGTCCGGCCGGATTTAGGCTAGCTGTAGCTACTAGCTAGCTACCCTTTTTCTTCCATTTCTAAATACGCTTTCTCTTGTTCTTCCTATTGAGTATTGAGCAAGGCAAATTAACACGAAGAAAGGTAGAACTGGGAAGCCATGGCGAGAATATATGGTCCCAGCACCAGCAGCTCTCCATTATGAAACCCATCGCCCTTTCACAGCCATTCGTCTTTCACCGCTCAAGTCTAACCTTTAATAGTATATATATATATATATATATATATTTTATTTTGAAAGGGGGAAAGTTGGTCAATAGGATTTTGATTCCTATTGATCAAAAAATACATGTTCTTGTTTTGAGATTTATGTGGGTAATAGAGAGTGTTTATTTTCCTGTCGGTGGATAAATAACTTTTTCACTTAGAGAAAAATTACCAATACTTGAATGGAACAAAAATATCTCTTTTAATAATAGATTTTTATGACTAAAATGATAATTACCTTATCTAATATATATATATATATAATGAAGGCTTTCAGGCTACAACCCCCACCATTCAGACACATGGCTTTTTCATTTTTGTGAAAAGTTAGATACGTAGCATTTTTTTGAGAAGTTGTTATTAAAACCCACAACAACTACCACCATTTTCAATCAATTCCTAAAAAAATACATAAAATACAAAATTGATTTTCCACAACCACTTATGTCTACATTCTTTCAATTTCAACTAATCATTAACCCTCTAGGTATCATAATAAAAGAAAACTATTCATATTCTAATAATTATTAAAAAGCTATTTTTTGAAATAAATATTTTTTAAAATTTTAATAATTATTTAAAATATTAATAAATATAAATTTAACAGTATTGATTCCATAGTATAAATTTAACATTATTAATTCCCCGTACTTAGTATGGGATCATTCACTAGTTTATATAAAAAATAAAAAAAAAAACACGAGTAAATGCCCTTATCTAATTCAATCTTTCCTAAAAAATCCTTACCCTAATAAATACATTTATTCAAATAAATAACTTACCAAAAACTGAACGAGCCTTAGTTTTACCTGTTCATTACCTTGGACAAATCCCAAATCAATCGAGTGGTTTTCACTTTACAGAAACCACACGTTTCTTATATTCTTCTTAGCCCATTGGTTTCTATGTACCACAAACCCCAGTTGAATAATGATACAGTCAATAAAAAAGCAGCAGGTGGGGAATAAGTATATATCACGAGCTTACGGTTTATCCATTCATATTACTTTACCCATTTCATGATCAGAAAAGGGAGGTCCCACTGTTCATTTGTTCTTTTTATAGTTTTTTTTTCTTATCAACTGTTTTTGATTGAGGTAAGATTGTAATGGACGCTTTAGACGAGGCCGGGCGCGGGCCGTCTATTTGGTTAAGTTCAAGGCTTCGTGCAAGTAACACGATTGTTTCAAAGAAGATAAGAAAAAGGAAGTAGACAGCAGTCCCAAACGAATATGCTACGGCGAGTGTCCAAAGAGGTGTATATAGCTAGTGTTTGTGGCAATCGGCATCCATCCGCACACTAGTCCATTTAATTTCACGGGTGGGTGAACCGTTTCATCAACATCAGAACATAAGGATTGATCAACAGGTGGCAAATGTATGAATTAGCTTATGGGTTTTCCGACAAAGAAAAAGTACTCCCTTAAAGGAGGAACATTCTCAGCCTATATAAAGCTAAATGCTACTGATGAACCTCTGGACCTTTTTGGTCGGTCCCACCCCCACCATGTCGGATGTCTCCCTTAAAAAGAAGGAAGTAAGGAAGGCAAGATTTGGTTTTTGCTTGAGGGTTCAACATCCAGCTGTGCAGACTGGATGAATCTGAGATAAGAAAAAAGGTCCCACTTCTCCATGCCAACAGGTTGGTTGAAGAGTTGAGTTGTGGCGTTTTGAATTTGATTGAAGATAGAACTTTAACTTTTGAAGGTGATCCTAATCTAATCTGGAAAGGGTTGGTCGTCGGTCAAGAAATCAGTCAATTCAATTCGTTTTATCTACTGACGCAGTGACGTGGATAAGACGTACCGATATTAACGACTTCCGTGAGGCAAGTGGGTTTGGTTTCTGTTCTGCTGAGTGCTGAGTGACTGAGTGGTGAGTGGTGAGTGGTGAGTGGTGAGTGGGTGACTCACTCCAATCTCAGTTCCACCTCGAATACAATGCATTCGTGGCATAAACTGTATCTGACAGCATGCATGACGCAAGCCGCTTCGAATTGCAAATTTATAAAAGAGGTTTATATGGATTTAGTAGATTATTAATTATTATAATAAATTATATAGTAGATCATTAATAATAAATTAAACATAATAATAAGTCTTTGTTGGTGTGTAATATAATTTTAAACATATCTTATTTCGTTTCTCTCAAACCTGAATGAGGAGGAGGGTTACATCACCATTAAAATATGGATTCTAGTTTCTTTAGCCGACTCCACAAGGCTATATGATCAGGACAAGAGTTAGATGAATTAGCTATTAGAGTAATGATATAATATTAATAATTACTAGAACTTAAAAAAAGAAAAGTCAAAGTCAAACACAGAGTGGTAGTAATTAGTAAGAGAGGTGTATAAGAGAAGAATAGATTAGAGAAGAGGTGCGTGCTGGGTTTAAGTTTAAACTCAAAAAGTAAAAAAAGAGAAAAAACAGGAGGCTATGCACCTGGTTTTGGATAAGTAGTTAGTCAACAGAGCCCACTGAATCAATGGAGGCGCCCTTCCCGGTACGTGTTCCAGCATGGAAGGACTGACGTACATGTCAATCCCGCCATGCTAGGACTTAGGCTTTCTATTTACACATCAGGCAACATTCAACCACAACACGTTTCCGTGTCAGCCTCAGCCTTTGGCTTTATAAATTGCCAGCTTTCTCTACCAAACTTGGTGCATCATCACCAATTCACCATCACTCACAGCTCCAGCTTGTTCTTGTTACAAACATTCTGTCAGTTGAGGTCCTTGAGGAGAGGAACTAGCTAGATCCATCATCATCATCCTTCAATGGCGCGTTGGGTCAAACCAGAGGTGCGTGTAGTATTCTCATCCCTTAATTTGTCACTTCAGCCCTCTCTCTCTCTCCATCTAAGTTGGTAATGAATGAAATAACAGGTGTATCCACTAATGGCGGCCATGACATTCGTCGCCAGTATGTGTGTCTTTCAGCTCACAAGGAACGTATTCATGAACCCCGACGTCAGGTACTTTCTATATATTCCTCTTTTTCTGTCATTAAATTGCCAGGTGGCAGTGGTCTATTGGCCTGAACTTGCCACGTAATAGCTAAACCATGGAAACGTTAGAGACCCAGCACCCAAAAAAAGTAAGTAAATGAATTTACTGCAAATAAAACACAGATAGTATAGTATATATAGTCGCCTCGATCGATCGTTTTAATTAAATTTGAAATATGCATGCATGTACAGGGTGAATAAGGAGCATCGACAAAAGGCAGTTTTGGAGAACGCTGAGGAAGGAGAGAAATATGCGGAGCACGGACTCCGCAAGTTCCTCCGTACGCGTCCCCCTGAGGTCATGCCCGCCATAAATAGTTTCTTCTCTTCTACAGATTCTAAATAGACTAAAACACAATCACAGTTTGAGAGTTCATATCAATCAATTTGTATTTTTACTTTTTAGTGACTAAAGTAATGGCCCTGTATTATTATTATTGTTTTTCTAACTCTCAAAGATAATGGAGTAATTTGGTTCCATATTTCAGTTTTTAAACGTATGCCATGATCCTTGTTCATCTCTCTGCAAATAACTCTTCCCTAAAGAAAGAAATAAGAAATTGCACCGGCGTCACTTGGCAAAACTGACACGGTGATGATCCAAGAACCCATACAGCTCTGAATTCGCTGTTTGAGATCCAGAAGCTCTTCGGAGTTCAGAGCCACACTGCCGCAACCAAAGACCGGTCTTGTAGATAAGAGAGCATTGGTGTCTTGGTGAAGGCAAAACTCATTTGACAAAGATTTAAATCTGTTTCCAGCAAGTCGTAGTAAAAGCTCTTCATCCATCCTAAAATCGGTTGCTCTATATTCAGAATTTAGTATCTACCCTGTTTGCTGTTTCAAGGGACAATTCGGCTATTTTATGTTTACCTACCATTCCAAGAATTTAGAAAAGGGCTTATATATTTGTGTCTCTTAGTACGTGCCCCCAACTCGTGTAAGGACTAAGGACTAAGGAGAAGACTCTTAAGCATCATGGAATTCCAGCTAAGTCTAATAATTTTTATGATAATTACTCAAATGATTTTCTTTTTATTTTTAAAAAAAAAAAAAAAAAAACAGCAACATTTCTATGATCAAAGTAAACCAAACTACAATTCCAGATTGAAATAAATGATCAGCTCTGATGAAGCTTTAGTTAAGGAAGACGCTAAAACTGCAGCTATGGCTTCAATGTCCAAACCATATCATTCTTTCTTAGCCACTCTCTCAATTCCTCTGTACACTACAGAGAATTTTGAATGTTTATACAGCACCTAGGGAAGCAATTTCCTAGGGATCAAACAGTTTATACAGCTACATCAGAATCATTGTTTGGTGAGAATTGGCCTCTCTGTTCCCGATACAAGTTTCAGATTTGAAAGCCATACCATACCCAGTGAAGACAATGTTTTTGTTATAACTTTGCCATGTGATCTCTAACAAGAGACCCATCTTCTAGTTTGTCAATTCAGGCATTTGATACACTCTTTCCTGTCTGTTTTTGGTTCTTTGCTCATAAAATCTCCGTTGCACAGCAAACTAGTCGAGTTAACACTAGCAGTGCAAGTTTAATTTATGCTATCATACTGAATGGAAGGGCAAAAATAATGTAACAACACAATCTCTRCCATGTTGGAACATGTGATCTATTGCCAAAAAACAAAAAGAACACGTGATCTGCTCATCTTATCTGTATATATCTAAAATATATAATGTGGGAGGCATCAAATCAATGCAACTGTCAAATATCTTTTGCAAGATCAAAGATGTATAACGCCAATCAATTATTATTTATTTTATTTGCTTGTGCACTGCAAATGCCTGTGCTTCTTCACCAGTATGTATAAAATAACAAAGGGCTATCCATGTTCAAAAAAAATGCAATAGGCTGTTTCAGCTCTCAATATTGACTCAAAATTTGTTTGTAGTTAGCAATAGCATATGATGAGAAAATTATAGCTTCACTTCCTCCGCAAATACAACATGCCAGCTGCCACAGATACGCCAACAATGGCTGCTAGCACAACCCAATCCTGTGCAGTTGGGGCAGTGCAGACATGCAAGATCTTCTGGACAAGACCTGTTTGTTCCTTTTCAGTATGAGAAAACGGATCCAGCTCCCCAATGCAGTAGTCTTTCATGAGTTCCCTTGCACTATTACTGTGACCCGCATCTTCGAAATCCTCAGTGGCATCCCTTCCTTGAGTAAGTTTTGATCAAACGTCAGGTCAAGATTTGTGTTATAATGTGATGCAGGAGATGTTTATAAAGAAATATAGAGATACCAGTTGCTGTGAGGAGGACATCATCTCCACCTGGATGCTCATCCAAATAATTTGTCAAGTTGTATACCTGTTGGAACACAAAAAGGTATGCATGTTATATCTAACATAAGAAAGGGGGGAGAAATAGAAGAGAAAATGAAAAGTAGTAGAAACTACTACTAGCCTAAAACAAACAAAATAAAAATGGATGTTCAAGAAAAAGTACTCTGCAGGGATAGAGAGGAATCCTCTCATCTGCAGGAATAGGAGTACAAGGCCTGTGAAACCTAAAGTCTGGCACATACATGTGCAGCATTATTAAGAATACCACAGGGTAAGCATTGACAACATTGATTACTGCTACAAGGGATTGAATATTTGGTTAGGCATTTGCACATGGCAATCGCTTGTTACTTTCTGGGGCTACTACTAACTCAATAGGCAATGCCTACACAATGGAAAAACAAAGAACTAAATAAAGTTGGACAATAACCTAGAATATCATATTTTGTGTAAAAGCAAACACATAAATGGAGACATATACTAGTTAGAGCGAGCCTCCTATTGCATTTCTCCCTCAAACATGTATATAAAATAATACAATAAAATTAACTTTTTGTAGTTATTTTGTAATAAAAATATGAAGGCATAAAACAATCTATAGCATGATTGCATATAACATTGTTGCCAGGTATATGTTGAGTGCATAAGTAGTCAATAACATACCTAGCTAAGTAATAAGCTGCCAAGGGCATAAATGTACAATAATAACTAGGGAATTCGAGCAAGCAAATAAGGGTTTCTCAATAATCCACCATAACTACTAATTTTAATTCAATAATAAAACTTTTAATAATCCATTAAAAAAACAAAACTCATAATACTAGTGGTTGACAATTTTTAGACTTGGAAATCTTAAAAGATTGGAAAGGCCTTAGATCTTTAAAACTAGTAAAATTATACAAGTCACAAAATTTATCATGGATAGTCCAACACAAGGCTTCATTTTAACCATGGTCAAGGGCATCGACCCTATTCTTTGGGGGTTTTCCAAATTCAATATTCCATAGTTGGATCAGATTTTTACACTGATTCCAATATTTCTTTTGATAAATCAAATGCACTATTTCTTCTATAAAATATGTAATGGTGTATTATTATAATTGCAAGGGTATTGTTGTACTGATGAAATAATTATATTCCAACAGTGGCACGCCTTACCCAGATGCATCTATAGATGCTATATATTAGAGTATGGCATGAAACAATACTTTGACCATGCCTACAATAGTTTTTTGCTTCAAGGATGCTCCTCCAGATGGAATAATAATTTGTTGCTTCAAGGAAACTGAAGCATATGCTTAGTCATTTTAGCTAAATATCACATGAATTTCTAGGCATACAAAATTCCAGATGAGTGAACTCTGCTTTCAACCAAGACATTACTGATTTGAGTTTTTGTTCTGTAAATACTGAGATGAATTTCTAGGCACTTTTGATGCAAAATATATAGAACAGGGACAAGTTTCAGACGTGTTTCATGTTCGACTTTTTGATTGAACAATATGACTATGGGAAGCAGATAATCAACAAAGGTTGAGCAACAAAAGCACAACTCAACAAGTCTTAGTGCTTCACTGATATGATAACTTCCATGGTATCCTGTTGATCATATTAATACACCTTGACACAAAAGAATGCTGACTACAATAACTCTCTTTTTGCTGAAGGAATGAGAAAAATTGATGCCCCAATGAGAGGAACGGCCAACATTGAGGAAACGGACAAAGGGTTAAATTTTGGACTGAGGCCTTGTGGGGAGACCCATGGTTCAAAGTATCAATACACCCAATACACACGAACATGAGTATCAGGTGTTTTGGGTGAGTTATACACTATCTTTTTTTTTTTTTTGGTTTCATATTTTCAGAGGTGTTGTAATACTATTATTTAACATCTAAAAAAAATCAAACTTCTCAAATATCTTAAAAGAGATATTTTGGTTACTTGTAGGAATGATATGATACACCTGATACGGGGTGTATCATATCAATAATTTGAACCTCTGGAAATCCTCATCTTTTGTTTTTCTGCATCTCTAGATCTAAAATCAGCCACAATGTCAGAAACACTGTCAGTGGGTCCTGTGTGATGACTTGGAATCTTGGAGTTCACCATATCCAAGAGGTGAGTTCCACCCCAAGTCTTTCTTTTGATGTGTGGCATCCGTCAACCTGGTTTTCTATTGCCCCAACCCTCTTCAAGACTAAACAGTGAAATTCTTCATACGGGAAGCAGTCTGCAGGAAAATAGGCATTTGTGGTGTTTTATGAAGATGCAGACTTTGCTGCAAATACTTCTGCCTCCTTGCTTTCCTCACCTGCCCAAGGAGAAGGGAACTTATCAATTATTTTTCAAATGCTCTTTCATCCAAGAGTGTGGGCTCCACTCTTAAGTGTATTGGAATTGCCACAGAAAAGGAAACTGGATCTACTAGAAACAAGATTGTAACATGGGATAATAACACTCAATCAGGCAATCAGAAGTAACATGTCAGTTGATACAAATCTGGTAACAGTATGGATTGTTGACGCTTTTATTTCTGATTAGGTGTTACTTTCCCATGTTACACATCTTGTTTCTAGCAGATCCAGAATTAGAGACTTCAGGGATTGGGCTTGAGGAACAAAATTTTTCGGAGAGGTTGGCTCATGCAAGGTTGTGGAGAATTTGGGAGGGAAATAATAGAACCTTTAAAAATAGGTCCTCTACACAGCAGACACTACAAGAAAGAATTGTATTTCAGGAAGCACGGTAGGCATCAGTCCAAAGAGTTTTCCATGCGTCAAGTACAGAGGAGATTTGCAGGAATTTGCTTTCAATTCTGCAATTTTCTCCAATTGTGGCTATTTATACGGTGGTGGTTCCTAACAATAATATGTGAGAAGATTTTTAGTTAAGATTTGATGGCACATGGCAATTGATTGAGCAATCTGGATCATTTAAGAGTTGGATGGATAATGGAATACAGAGAAGGAATCACTATGTAGGTGTACGATAGACTAATTGGTGAGGCACTCAGTGAAGTGAAGGTGATGGTGCTCCTTTTAGCCATTAGAAGAGCCTCACTAGAAGCCCACCATCCCTTTTAATGGATGTTATTTTTCAAATTCCATCAGATGGCCAAAGGATTTGGAATAAACCCATGGAGATTGTCCTTCATGCTAAATGAGTCACCTATTTAAGCTCCTAGTGCAATCAATGCAGCTCAGAGAAAAACAATTTGTGAGACATTTGAATCCATAAAACCTGAGAGATATGAAAATTTTGTTCCTGAGAATGTTGATATATTTTCATTGAGATTAGTTCATTAACGCATGACATAAAATCCTAACCAGGAAATTTGAAAGGGAATTTCGAAACTTTAGAAATAGTAAAAATTGATGGTTAAATTTCATATCAGGTTATCAATATTCTACAAAAATATACGAAAGTGAAAGTATAGTTGCCAGATGCATCATAATAAATTCAGTCATTTTTTTCCTAATAAATTACAGGATATTCACAAATTCGGCAGCATGTACAATTCAATATAAAACTAAAAGTAACAAAATGGAACCATCATGTCTAGATATAAAACAAATTAAAGATGGTATAGAATTCTGTTGTGTGCCAGAAATAGTTGATGAAAGCATTGCTTAGAATAGAACCCACAGACGGAGATTAAGGGGGGTTTAGTCCTTCAAACAGGATACATACTCTCAGGTAAAGAACTGACCCAAATGGTCATTCAGAGGTCCCAAGAGATTGCAGAAACATCAGCACGATGCATACATTGAATGGAAAGCACCCATATCAGAAAAATCCCAGATATTACTCGAGAAGAGAAAGAACGAATAACAAATGCCTATAGTAGCGGATAATGTCAACGTCGATAATACCATGAGAAAACATAACGATGACCAGTATGCGGGATAAAGAAAAAAAAGCAAACAGACCCATTTTCAGGAAACGTAGACAAAGAGGGGGAGGGGAAGAGAGAACACTGACGAAACATAGTAATCCATGAATCTCGATCTTTCAATATACAATATATTTTTTTTTTTTTGGCTGCAAAGATATTCTAATCTATAATTAATGAAGGAAGAGTCTTCTTGGTTAATTGAGCATACCTTTCCATGTATGACAACCCAGCAATCGTCTCTTGTGTTGTGTTCTGATGCTTGTTGCAGGGTGTAGATCTTAGTGGTGGTTGGCATTTTCTCTCTATACAGGATAATTTTCAGAGAGAGAGAGAGGGACTCCCCGACTCGTTCGCCCACTTGTACCCCACTTGTCCACTCTCAGTCTGAACAAGGACCCGGACCCGGAGGGGGAGGAGTGGTAATTTGTTTTGACTTCTGAGTTTCTACACTTTATTGGAGATGAACGAGTAATGCAACCATACAAACAAATATGAACATAGATGCACCGATCCAACGGGTTTTATTACTAAAATGTGGCCATGAGAAGCTCTACATGTACGGGATGAATGATCAATGACAATTGACAACTTGTCAAAATCAGAATATCTTTACCCAATTCCTTTCACGGCCCAATCCAAATAAAAGGGCCACTTAGTTTGAGCCAAGAAAAATTCAGGCACTTTGTGGTAGAAGCCCATAACAGAAATGGGTCCGCCCAGACTCGCCATTTAGTAAAGATGTGTAAATTTAGGCTTACGTTACAGGTCCGTATAAAACGAGTCCGGATCACCCGAAAGCAAATATTGTCAGATGACAACGGAATGCAGTGCAAATAAACATCGGATTCAGTTCACTGCTCACACCTCTTCAGTGTTCACAGCCACTTGCAGCTCTATTTTGGAAATATCTCTCCATTAATTTAAATAAATAAATATAGAAATATTTTCAATACACAGTTGTAAGTAGCCGTAAGGATGGTATGAGCATGGTTTTATGAGGATGGAATCCGAATTCTGTAAATATATATATTAAATTCATGGAAAGATGTTTTCGATGTACAATTTTTTTTTTTTTGTGAAAATTTTCAACTGACGTTGTGTTTTTATAGTATTTGCACAGTTTTGTCTTTACAAAAATTAGATCTGGTATGCAACAACCATCCAAATAGGAGAAAAGATATCTTGAAACCAAAAGACTAGGATTAGCCCAAATCAAATATGAGAAAAAGGAAATTGGATTTGATTCTCACATTCTATTGCAGTAATATCTCTTCATTAAAAAAAAGTATACCAGCATGGAGATGTTCCCAATGCATGGCTGCAAATGGCTGTGAGGACAGTTCTATGAAGACCAAATCTGATCTTAAAAAAAACAATAGAATTGGGTTGAAGTTGAAATTTGGGTTAGGGTTACAATTCATTACTTGGAAACTTGGGCTCCACCTTGTCAATAAGCCCAGTTATCAGGCGTATAAATGGGTGTGGCAAATTCTTGGCCCTGGCCCCTGGCTGGGTTGAGCGAAGCATGTTAGGAGTTTGGACTGGAGGATGCTACTTGCTAGGCCCTTTTCATTCAAAAATGTAGTTTCATTTTGTTACAACAATGATTTGTATTTACAAGTTTCTAGTATATAAGAAAAAAAAGTAAATATAAGTTTAGAAACGAAATCTATTCAACTAAGGTTGTCAATGGAGAGGTTTTGGATTGGACCCCATCCAGTCCAAAATTAATTTGGACAGATCAACAACATATRTTGGATTGGACCAATCCGGTCCAAAATATTTATTAGATTGGATTGGACCTAGCCTATCTGTAACAAATTTATATTGGAGTGGGTTGGATTAAGCCAATATCTGGTCCATTGATATAAGATAAGAATATATGTGCCAATGAATCATGTTTGGGTTGAAACCAATCTAAATCAAAATGGATTTGAACAAATTGGACGGTCTAAGCATTGAATTGGGCTGGTCCAAATTGATCCAAAACATTCATTAAATTGGATTGGATCTGGTCCATTTATAATGAACTCACATTGGACTGAATCGGATTAGACCAAATCCARTCCAATTGACACCCCTGTATCCAACACAAAATATAAGTTTTACAAATTAAAGTTATCAAAGATGTGCCAGTGATTGCCTCCTACCACCTGATATGAGACGGCAATTCCATACTTGTTTGTATACATCCCAGCCCAAAGATGCTGGACCACAAAGCCCAGACCATTAGGCCCCCAACCAGGATAGAAAGGAAACTTCGCTTTATTACTAGTCATTCCATTCTGTTCTATTTAGTGTGCCATATCCATCCTTAAATTATGGGCACTTAATTCTTTTTTTTTTTTTTTTTCAAATTCCATCCAAGTTATTTCTAGTCTGCCCAATCTCAATCAAAGAGGAAAAGTTATCCTTTTAATTGGATGGCCTGTGAAAGTATATCAGGGGGCCTATAATGGCTGAAGTGGTGAACTGAATGGCTTTAATGCTTTCTCTTTAAGGCTCTTTTCCAAATTTTGCCACGATTTAGTTTTGCATCCATTATGATTTGCGCTCTTACTTGATACAAAATTTGTACCATTTGTCTCATCATTTCCATTTACTGGCAGTGCAAAATTTTTTCATCTCAAAAACGGACGCAAATTTTCCACCACCTTGCTCCTACCTCAATTCTCTCTCATACAAATTAGGGGCCATATCATTTTGCATCCTACTTCATCACTCCCAAACGAATAATCCTACTTCTACCTCCATTCTCTTTCACATAAGGTGGGATCACATAATTTTATTTCTCATAAATAAATAAGACAAGATCAAATCTGAAAAAAAAAATAATAATCCAAATTTTATTTCTCATAAATAAATAAGACGATCAAAATAATGAATGCTTCTTAATCCATGATTTTGATTTATAAAGCTGCACCTCGCATAAGGCCAGCCCACCATAATGTGACCTGCAGCACAAGATTTTCATTGAATATGTGAGTTGGTAGAGAAGGAACATAAGACCCCAAGAAATCCAAATTACTTACTTGCTGCTTTATGCCAATTTTGTCATTTGGAGACTTGTTGATCAAGTTGGTTAGAAAAGATAGGGGGAAAACAAAAGCAGCACTTCCAACCAGAATGAATCTCAAGCTCATCAATACTGAACTAACTGCAATTGAACTTCCGGGACTGCACAACAGTAGAAACAAGATCAATGAATAAGAAAAAGCAGGCAGTTGTACCATGCAACCTAAGAAATAATATACAACAAATAAATAACAGTAATTAAGCAGCCAATGTATCATGTATCATCGACAGACATACACAACCTTTTTCTTTTTTTGATTCAATTCAGGAAAAGAATTTTGTTTGCCATTACCAGACATGATACATGAATGCTAACCATCCATGGTTGATGCTTCAAAGATATACAGACCATACCTATCACTTACAAATCTCCACTTGTCAATATCCAAAGCATCCATAGGAAGATGAATATTTCAGCAATAAATGGCAATGTCGCAAAAGCATGCCTACAAAAAAAATTTAGTAAAGGAAAAGCGTTTGCCTATATTCAAGAAAAATGATAATACACAATAAAAGCTTCAATCTTTTGAAATAATTCCTCTGGAAATTTGACATACCTAGTATACCACTTAAATAGAATAGCTGCAATCCACATGGAAGTAGTTAGACATACTGTATTTGGAATCTAAATAGAGAGTCTGAACATGGGGCCTACAGAAAGGTACGCCAGAAGGAGAGACTCCTACTTCAGCCAGCATGTAAGAAAGGTAAGCCATGAGTATCATAAGTGCGACTTCACCATCAGTGGAGTGCCTGGAATTTGTAATAGTTAGCTATTACAATGTTTTTTGGAAAAAAAAATGAAACAGGCTCTGTCAAAATTTTCCCCATTTCATCATTTTTGAACAATAAACATATCGATCTTCTACATGATTAATAACATTAATTTTCATGCGAAAATTAATAACATTAATTTTCATAGGGTGAGCATTATTCAGTTAAAACCGAAAATTTCAGTTTCAGTTTCCAAAATAACTGAATTAACCAAATTTCTTTATATAATATGTAATATATATATTATATAAAATGTAACATATATAATTATATATAAATGTATAATATAATATATTATATGTTATAATATATATTACTGAAATTTGGTTTTAAGCAAAATAATCAAACCAAAAATTTCGATTTATTACAGTTTTCAGTTCAATTTTTAATCGAATCAACCAAATGCTCACCACTAACTACAGAAATAAGTAAAGGCAAGTATTATGTCCTCCCACTTACAAACCTGCCAAAATATAACTTTTTGATAATGTATGCACTGAGCAGACCAGTCTGCAAAAGAGAAAAAGCAAAGCATCAAAATAACCCCATGACATGACATGCACACCCACACACAACAGAGAGAGAGACTTACGAGCACTCCTAACATGGTACTTGATACAAATAAATAAAAGAAGTTGCCAATAAATTGCAAGGCTATGGAAAAAAAAAAACAGACTATAAAGCAAGGGCGTTTCATCTTGATTAAAAACCTACACCATCAGGTGAAATAACTTTAACCACACATTGCTATATATTCAAAAACAATATTACAATTTCAAACACTCCCCATACCTGCAAGGTGCAAACAGAATCCGTTTCAGAAAAAGATTGCTCCAATTGCTCTAGATAGAAAGGTGGTACATTGATAAGAATACAAGATCTATGGGAATTGCAAACAAAAGGCAGTATGAGATAGTGGTGTGTTCGGAAGCGTGTTCTTAACCACTTCGGAACATTAGTTTAAACATTTATAAATTTTTCCGATTCTCAAGTAATTACTAACACAGTAAAATGATGAGAACGGGTCGTATCCACAGGGAAGCGAGGAAAAATTCATACGTACTCAAATCTGGACAAGAGAATACAAGAGGGAAGTGCAAAAATATAAAAATTAATTAATTAAACTAAAAAAGATAGAATTCGAACATTGCAGAAATTAAATGTGCAGAAAAATAAATAAATGAAGGAAACGACATAAGAAAAATCTATAATCCAATCAGAGGTAGCAATCTCCAGATCTCTCCTTCGACCCTCGAACTTCTCGAGCTAGGCCTTCTGTCTTACCTGGTCGAATTCTAGACCTGCAAAAAAGAAAATGAATGTCAAACATAATGAAAATAAATTGCAGAAAGGAAATAACGAAACTGGAATTGAAAGAACAGAAATTAAAACTAAAGCTAATGGTTGAGATCCGAATCTAGAGGTGGCAGTAGTGGTTTTGGCGAACTACAAGTAAGAACCCCTCCTCTTGCCTAGGCGTCCTCCTCTTCCTCTACCTTTGAACTTCTCAAGATTAGCCTTCCGTCTTACCTGGGGGCAGAATCTAACCCTTTCTCAGGAGCTCTTGGGTTCTTTTTATAGAGAAAGGTGGATACAATTAGGATTAGAGAGAAAGAGGGGGGTGGTAACTGGGTTTTAGCAAAGATATGAGTGCCCTAGGGTTTCTAATGGAGGGTTAGGATGGTTCTGGGGTGATCGTAGGGCTGAAAGGAAAAGGAAAGGGCACCCAATATTATGTAGGGCTGAGATCTAGTGGTTAGGGGCTAAATGGTGAGGATTAGTAGTTAGGTGGCGCCTTAGGATTTAAAAACTACAAAAAGAGTGTCCTAGAATGAATGATGGAGATTAAAAGAGGTGGATGGTGGAGATTAAACAGCTAGGGTTTGTTAAGGATGAAAATAATGGGTTAAAAGGCGTCCTACGATTTGCTAAGGAGAGGGAAGCATGCTAATACAGTTGGAGGGGAGTCATTCTAGGTTTAGCAGATAGGAGGCGCCCTCCTATTCTCAGTGTTTCACAAAAACACCCCCTCTGTCAACTGGACTTCACACCAGCTTCCCAAACACTACAATTCAGCCATGTAACCTCCCCAGTTTTTGCATAGAGACCCTCAGAGGTCACAACATTGAATTTAACTGAGAAAATGACACACTTTGACKATCTTAAGGCCAAAAATACTCCTGAATTGATGCCCTTAAAACATCAAAATGCAGAATTATCATATAGGAAATAGAAAGTGGGGATGCTAAAGAAATTACCAAGATAATCTCCAATGTCAAGCGGAACCATATTCAATCGTTTAAAAAACTATGTAGCACCTGAGTTTAAGAACCAATGAGTTCAACCATGAATAGATAATAAAAGCATAATTATCAGTAGTAAACATTAAAAAAGAACACGCAAATAACTCAATACTGATATTAACTGCCGCTTAGAATCTTGAAGATTCACCGGCATTTAGCAACTTGGAAATTCTAAGCTAATCAACTAATAAACATTCTCAGAAAGAAATTTCACCCAAAAAAATGCGTGTGGAAGAAACAATATAAAGTATATTGGCAGCTTCATTGTGTGTATTATAATTTTCATCCTTCTTTATAAAATGAAAGAAAGACAGACATAAGCATGGTTATCAAGGCAATGCTTAGGCAGGCACCTAAGCAACACGTACATGAAAAGGCATTTTGTAAGTAGCACCTTTTTAGGCAAGGAAAAGAACAAGGTAAGCACCTTATCACATGTTGTATACCATATTGTATTTTATTTTTGCTCTATGACATACAAAATCATTGTCTCTGTAGTATACCATTCATTATTTATTGGTATGGATCCTTACTGCAATAGCAATAGGATGCTCTGGGCAATCAAAAATAACATGTTCAAAAAAATTAGTATAGCTAAAGATGGACAGTCAGCTGAGATGATTTAGTGAGTGAATTGGTGGAAGTCTCTTAAAGAGCAAGGGAAAGGCCAAAGAAAACATGGTCTCAAGTGGGAAAAATTAATTAAAGGCTTATGATTTGACAGAAAAGAAAAGAGAAGAGAATGTTTGGATGGTCAGACAGGAATACTTGTATTTTTTAAAATAAAACATGCAGAGAAGCAATTAGGCAATTATAAAGAAAAAGGCAGTGGATACTCTTTTACTCCTTGGCTGTCAGTTCTCAAAGCTTTTACACAAATACCATACAAAACAACACATATAGAACATGTTTATAAATTGTAATTCCTGACATATATCATACAATTGTATATCCCATTGTATAATGCTTTAATGTACATGGGTGGGTGCTTACCCTTTGAAATCAATTTTGCTACATAATTGATGAGCTCCATATTTTACCTTCTTAAAAGAAGGTAAAGTGTATCAAATATGGAAGGTAAGAAGCCAAAGAAGCAACATCATATCGTATATAGATAAAATGGAAATAATTATCTATCAAACTTTCATGCTTTTCACTGTAATGAGTCTGCATGGCCAACGACTTCAATTTTTTCCCTGTATTTTTATTGATATTAAATGTGGAAATTATATGATGTGAAATAATTAAATACATATAACTGAAAAATGTTACCTGTTGCAATGATGCCAAAAGGTATTAATGTACCAACAGCACCAAACAACATGATTGTTGTGAAGTTGCAGAAAAATTGTTTCCTTTTCACCTGGAATCTGGTTTCAATGGACACAGGATCAACTCATCAAGCCCTTTTAAAAGACTGTTATGATCATAAAAAAACATTAAAAAAAAGGCAGTAAATAAAACAAATAAAAATGAAAATGAAATCCTAAGTAAAATAATATATGCATGAAATTTATCTTGTACTTTATCTAAAATAAAATATTATATATAATGTGTATTATGTATGTATGTATATATGATATGAAGTATAGAATAAAATGACACATAAATATATAAGTATATTAAACTTATATAAATAATTGCCAGCCGGGCCTGAACAGAAAACTTAGGCCCACACCTGGAATTTCAGGCCAGGCCGAGTAGGGCTGAAAATGATCACCCCCTAGTGGTAAGAGACAGCACATGCAATATCTGCCTCAATTTCTCAGATCCAATTGGGCAGGATATTGCCCTAATAGCTGAAATCCTAGCACCGGTTCAAGGACTAGAGTTAATCTTTATGCAAGGGTGGAAACATATAGATGTGGATCAAACAGTTATTGCCTGGATGCAATCTGCTGAGGGCATTCCTTGGGTTTACAGGCAACTAGTAAAACAAGCTCAATCTTTGGGCAATCAATTGAATAGCTAGTTCAAGTGGGTGCCTCAGTTTGCTAATGTTTTGGCTGACACTATTGGATCCCAGGTGGATAACCCGCCATCAGGTCACCGGGCCCATACAAGTCAGGAAAGCGAGGCCCACACAGGTGGTGAAGCCCATGCAGCAGCAGCAGCAGCAGAAGCACATGCAAGGCGTTACAAACCTCTCCTGCCATTTGTTTATAACCGCAGGCCACGTCATAACCATCCACATGCAGAGCTTGTAGCCATGATGAGCTGATAAGTGCGAAAGCCTATAAAACGCCTTCGGGTAGAACAGAATGGGCAGAAAAAGCATAACTACCTTATTTCCTTCTTTCTTCCTCTTCTTTTTCTCTCTCTCTTAATTCTGTTTCTGGAGGAAGGAGCTCCCTCGAAGAAGTTCCATCGACTTAGTGTTCATCAATTGGTATCAGAGCCCCTGATCTGCCATGCCCACCACTCGCAATAAATCACAAGGAAGGATCGATCGGATGGAGAGAGAACTGAGGGGTATTAAAGACACCCTCTCTGATGTAGTGTCTCAGCTCAAACGGATGTCAACTCAGCCGAGCAAAGAGGCAAACCAGGAGGGATCGAGCAGCGGCGGCCTTCAACCTTCGCAGCCCCAAACTGGTGTTCCCCACGTACTCAGGTGACGATCCTTCCCCCTAGATCTACCGCCCAGAGCGGTATTTTGATTTCCATGAGATTCCAACCAGCTAGAAAGTACAGATTGCCTCCATCCATCTTGATGGAGAGGCTAGTCTCTGGTACCAATGGTACCATCGTTCACACCCACAACTGTCTTGGCTAGACTTTGTTGAGGCCCTGCAAATACAATTTGGTCCTTCCAGCTTCGAAATTTTTGACGAAGCTTTATCTAGAGTGGAACAGACTGGTTCCGTTCAAGAATATCAAGTTGAATTCGAGCAGTTAGCCATAATAGTGCATGGATGGCCAGAACATGCACTCACCGGCTGTTTTATTGGTGGCTTGAGGGAAGACATTAGGTTGGAAGTGAAAGCCCCGCAACCCCCTACTGTTTTGGCCGCTGTGAGCCTAGCCCGACTGCATGAAGACAAGTTGAACCGGGCTAGGAGGAATCCACGGCCAGGAATTCTCGAACCAGCTCCCAAGCCCTTGACATCCAAAACCGAGTTAACCCCAGTTCGACCACACCTCCCGCCGGTCCCCACTGTGAGAAAACTCACCTGGGCTGAGATGCAGGCCCGTTGGGAAAAATGATTGTGCTATAACTATGAGGAGAAATTTTCTCCGGGCCATAAGTGCAAAGCCCAGCAGATGTTCCCTCCTTCAAATTGTTGACAACCCGGATGAGAGTGACGATGTGGACACCGGACCCATGGTCTCCGACCAAGCTTAAGACTCCATCGAAGAAAACCCAGAGATTTCACTCCACGCCCTGGATGGGCTCCATTCCACTGAGAGCATGAGAGTGTATGGTGTACTCAAGGGTAGGGAAGTGAGTGGGAGTTCCCTTAACTTCATCACTCTGGATCTAGCTCGACAAATGGGCCTAGAGGTTCAGGTGGTGACTCCCTTTGTTGTTAAGGCAGCTAATGGACAGCAAATTCCTTCTGATGGGCTATGCAGGGCCATGGACCTTAGAATTCAAGGTCATGTGTTCAGTGTGGACTTGTACCTTTGGATTTTAGTGGGGCTGACTTAGTCCTGGGGATTCAATGACTTAAACTACTTGGGCTAACCATGTGTGATTAGACCCTCTTGACTATGGATTTCTGGATGAATGGGAAGCAATGCCATTTGAAGGGAATTGGGCCAACTGAACCAGCAGCAGATTCGGACCGACATGTTATCAATTACAACTTTCACTCCAGTGCAGCGACCCTGGTTTATTTGGGATCATTGGGTGTGGAACCCACTATCTATTGTGACAACGGAACCCATACTGTTACGGAGGACCCCACTTTACAAAAGCTCTTAGCAACGTATCAAGATGTCTTTGGAGAACCAAGCAGCCTACCCCCTGTACATACTCATGATCACCACATCCCTATTCAGCCTGGAGCCCAGCCCACCAATGTCAGGCCTTATAGATACCCACATGTTCAGCGGGCTGAAATCAACAAAATAGTAGTTGACTTGTTGTCCAAGCAGTTAATACAACCGAGCCACAGTCCCTATTCTTCTCCAGTCCTGCTCGATGGAACCAGGCATTTTTGTGTTGATTACCAGGCCCTCAACAGCATCACTATGAAGGATAGATTCCCAATTCCATTAATAGATGAGTTATTTGATGAATTGAAGCATGCCGTTTATTTTTCCAAACAGGACTTACGATTCGGCTACCATCAGATCCAGGTCCACCCCAAAACGGCTTTTAGGACCCATGATGGCCAGTATGGTCATGCCTTTTGGGTTGATTAATGCGCCCTCCACTTTTCAGAGCCTTTCGGCCCCACCTCAGGCGCTTTATCTTGGTGTTTTTTATGATATATTGGTCTATAGTAGTGATTGGGCTTCTCATTTAGAATATTTGGAGCTAACCCTTGGGATTCTCCGGTGAAATCAGTTATTTGCCAAGCCCTCTAAATGCACATTTGGCCAGACACAGATTCAGTATTTGGGACACATAATTTCGCGGGTTACTGTAATGACCGATCTCGAGAAAATTGTGGCGATGACTCGGTGGGCTTAGCCCAAGACCATTAAGTGTTTGCAGGGTTTCCTAGGCCTCACCGGTTACTACAGAGGTTCATAAAAGGCTATGCATCCCTGCCGCCCCTCTTACAGCCCCGTTGAAGAAAGAAGTGGAGCTTTTACTTTGTCAGAACAAACAGAAGTGGCATTTGAATCCCTAAAGAAGGCAATTACGACACCGCCTACCTTGGCATTACCCGATTTAACCAAGCCGTTTGTGGTGGAGTGTGACGCATTGGGCAGAGGGATTGGTACAGTTCTGATGCAAGGACATCCTATTGATTATTTTAGTAAGTTCCTGTCAGCCCAAGCCCAATTAAAGTCTACTTACGACCATGGTTTCAAATGTCGCTAATGTATGTCGGTGTCGAGGTTCACCGATATGAAAATAGATGGTAATATAAAAATTACATTATTCTGGTCGATATTTCCTATATTTCAACTAAAAATTACGTTATTCCTGTCGACATTTCCTATATTTCAAAAATGTTGGTCCAAATAACAAAAAAAGACAAATTTTCCTATTATGTCAACAGGATGTCGACTAATGTACATTAATAACATAATATATCAGTATATTATATTATTATAATACAGTATATTAATATAAACTATTCCATTAATAATTTCTATTTAATATTTCAAATAAAAAATTTATAAAAAAGAATTAACAAAATATAAAAACAAAAGAATAGATTAATTATTTTATAATATAAAACATAAAATATTTTTCAAATAATAAAATATTAACTAGTTAGTATTTTTAAAATATTTATTAAAATCACAAAAATGTTTATTAAATTTTATAATAAATCATATTCTACATTTAATATAAAAAATCAGAATAAATTTATTAAATTTTATACTAAATCATAATTTATTATAAGTTTAGTATTAAAAATCATAATAAATTCATTAAGTTTTATAANATTTATCATAATCATAGTACTACAAAAAGGAGAATCAGTTTATTAAATTTATAATAAAACATAATGTATTATAACTTTCATATTTAAAAAATCAGAATAAATGTATTTTTATTTACTAGTGTGAAATAAATATATTAAAATTTATAATAAATCAGAATTAAAAATAAGAAAAGAAAATATCAGATAATCTTGCAAAAACATCAAAATGCATAATAAATCAATAGATCATCATTTACTAATTTGGTAATAAAATAATAGTTTAGAAATATGTATTAATGCTTCTTTTATCATTTTACAAAATATCATTGCATATTTCCACATATTTTATAATATTTCCACAATGTCTCTAATTTTTACAATATTTCCCCTTGACATTTCCAACATATGTCCTATATTTTGGTAAGCGACATTTCCATCAACATTGACATTTTAAACCTTGCTTACGACAAGGAGCTAATGGCCTTGGTGCTCTCGGTGCACAAATGGAGAGTTTACTTGTTGGGGCGAAAATTCACAGTGAGGACTGATCAGAGGAGTCTCAAACATCTGATGGAACAAAAGCTTCTTAACCTTGAACAACAGAAGTGGGCCAGCAAGTTAATGGGCTTTGATTTCACCATTGAATACAAACCTGGCCCCTCCAACAGAGTTGTTGATGCTTTATCCAGAAGAGAAGATGACAGCTTACAGACCTCTCCATCCCTTGCTTGATCGTATCAAGGAAGAAGCTCAACAAGATGATGAATTAAAACTGATTCGGGAGCAGTTGGTATCAGGGACAAACCCAGTGGCGGGGTACTCCCTGGTGGGCTCAGACTTGTTGTACAAAGGGTGACTGGTGATAGCACCCAAATCTGTTTTCCACACAAACCTCTTGAAGTTATTCCATGAGCCACTAGAGGGAGGTCATTCGGGGATGATCAGAACTTATAGGCGCATAGCAGCCCACTTCTATTGGCAGGTTATCCACCTGGGATCCATCAGACACTTTAGCTAAAGTAGGGGCAACTAAGAGAAGTCTTCAGTGGGGAAAACCTAGGCCAGGAGTGGATATGTAACATTATTTTCTGCTTCTAAAATTCTGGTTGCTGACAAGGTTTGCCTTGTTTTGCCTTCAACTGCTTTGTATTACCCTCTCTCTTTACCTAGCTATTTGGGTAGTAGAGAGCTTTTTTTTATTGAATACAGGTTTCTGTTATTGATCCAAAAAAAATCTTCAATTGCATTTAGATTTTTAATCTCATCGGATTGATATCTGGAAGAAYTTTATCCCCTTGATCAGCTATTTTGAAGGTTCCAAGCACTACACAATGAGCTACCTGATTACCTTGGCTATGGCTGACATTTGTGGTAGGATCACTTGCTGGAAATGGAAATGCTGACAGGATTAATTGCTTATTTCAAGTCTTCCAGAAAATTATAAATGACCCAAGATTACTGACACATTTCTTGGAAAGAAGGATAGAAGTTAAAGCTAAATATTTAAGTGTACTGTACTGTTTCAAGAAAATGCACCATCAGACTGATGATTGCTTGTAACAGCATTAATTTTTGTACAATACTTGAACTGAAGAARCAAACAATGGTAGTAGTATATATCTCTATGAAAAGTTTAAGGCCACTATCATGTCCCTCAGTTCAAACGATAGGCCTTGTTTCCTTATCTAGATGAATTAAATGCAGAGGTAATACCAGACTATCTCAGTGTGAGTACAAGAGAGACTGTCATTCATCTACAATTTTTTTATGACTATATTCTTTTGTAATATAAGGTGGCTCATGTACAACTGAAGTACCTAAAATGGACCCTTGTCTGTTCTGAAGCAATTTCATTGGACTCAAGACCAATCTTAGCAAGATTATGGCCTATGGCATTGAGGCATACAACCTTGAGGAATTGGCAAAGGCACTGGGGTGTGATGTGGGTAAATTTTTGACATCTCATCTAGAGTTTCCCTTAGGGGCAGTCAATAGGGTTATCTGAAGATGGTTCAGACGATAAAGCAAAATATAACCTTGCAAACTGTTTCCATGTTTGATTTTCAACAGAAATCGGAGCTTGTCGAAAGACCACTTGGATGAATGAAATACCGGTTGTGCTGTCATGGACCTACGGGAAGGAAAGGGCAAAAGGAAAATATCATGGTTATCAGTAACCCTAGGGAAAAGTGAAGCAGAACTGAAGTGTGGGACAGTTGTGAAGACATAATGGTTTTGAGGAACGAATAGGTAGGAATGAAGCATATAGTGAGGAGATCCATTGAATAAGACAACTGGCACTTTAATATCTAGGAGTTATGTACACAATGAACTCTTTGGACTGACAAATAGCTCCATTTTGGCTTATGAAAATATGCATAAAGATGCATAAAGCCATAAACAGGATTAAAAGTGAAACATGCTTCAAGAGAAACACATTATGATTTATGATATACAAATATACTCCAAATAAAACAGGCCTTGTGTCAAAAAATTAGAAAAAGAATTCAAATACTGTTGCAATGAGTTCAAAACCTAAGCAGGACACTGCAAATGCTTGTTCCTAATTATCTATTATGTGTATTAATCTGTTGTGAAGAGTTTGAGCTAAGGGCCATTACCCAATGTTGGTCCTCACTATCCAGGGTCTTGAGACAGGTAGAATGGATACACCCAACCTTTGACATTTTTTGTACAAAGCCACTGCTCTCAGACTTCAACGGCATTCTTATGCTTGTTAGCCCAAGATTTTACCATCTGCCAAGAAAAGGACCCTTACTACTAGGAGCTTGAGTTAATCTCTTATTTTTGATGGAGCCAAAAGGAAGGCTACGAATTGTACTGTTGAACTCACTTAGGTAGGATTTCAGAAGATATACAAACAATGACAGTAGTGTGTCCAAAGCCCTCATGTAATATGAACAAGAAATTAATCTAAGAAAAACATCAAAGAATAGAAAATTGTTAATCATAACCATGTCTCTGTAGAATTATAATAAGGAAGCTTTTTCTGCGCCCTCTATTCCTCTGTTAGTCTTCATAGACTTGGTAGTGCTTTTATCTGATAACTTAAGAGCATGAAATCCATGGAATAAGACTAAATTTTCTCTATTTTCAGGTTCTCCCACAAGAAGTGCATGGTCCATGCTTTAAAGTCCAAAGCCATGTAAAGCAGGCATTTCTGTCACATCATATGAATAAACATGTAGACGAACTTGGGCACAATAGCCAAGGCCCAAGGAAAACCATACTTACTGAAATGTTCATAGAAGCATATAATAACCAAAATAGGGATATCATTTTTTTTGGAAAAAAAGGTATTGTATTAAAACAAGACTATATCAGGTCATGAAGCCATAAAACTCTGACAAAATGCTATGGTGGCATACACACATAATATTGATAGATATAAGCATCTATGTAATCAATACCATTGTAACCTCCTATTAAACCTACCCATGGATTCCAAGCTTCCATAAATGCATGCAATGAGCTCAACAAACATAATATAAACCAATCATATAGAACCATATGAGGAAGTCAAAGCCAACAATAAAAAGGCTCACATAAATTAAAAGAGGAAAGGGAATTACCAGACTATTTCAACAGAAAAGTCATCTAAAGCACTAAACCAACCAAATCATCTCTTGAGTTGACTTGAGGGAAGAAGTATTTCAAAAACCAGTTGTGTATTGATCAGTGATCTGTTAACTAATGGAAATTGGAGTAACATAGGAAATGACACCCTTACTGAACAGCTTAATAAAACCCCTAATCAAATCCAAATAGGTTACACGTTTTTTTTCTGTAACAAATACTCTCAAATTATTCATTTTTGCTCATATATACTCTAGTCAACGTATCTGCCGCTTAAGCTGGATGCATCTCCTTGTTCCAGCATTACACAGTTAAGAAAAAAAAAAAAAAAAACAAAAATGGTTGCATCACTATAGAACAATTCCAGATAGCTTCATCCAGCTTCTTTGCTTGAATTGAACTTCGAGAACCTGTCTTTTAAATCGGCAACCAAATATCCCTTACCTAACTTATAAAGACTTTTCATCACTTTCATATAAACAGGAAAATTGGGYCTGARACCCTTCTCAATCATTTCAACAAGGATCTCTCGTGCATCAACAACCTTCCCTTCCTTCAGGTGAAGGCTAGCAAGCAAGCTGTAATTCATATTGCTGGAACATCCATATTTGGCATGCATGTCAACAACATATTTATATGCTTCCTGGAATCTTCCAGTTTGRAAGTAGCCCTTGATGAATGCAGCATGTGTTGTCAGCCGAGGTTCAAGACCTATTGATCTCATCTGATTAAGAAATTCAATTGCAAAATCCAATCTCCCCACTCTACATGCACGGTGCACAATTATTTCGAAGGTAATGGCATCAGGATAAAAACCCCATTCTTTCATTAGTTGGAGCAGATTGCAAGCTTCGGGAATCCGTCCATTCTTGCAGAGACTACCAAGCAAGTAATTAAAAGAATTAGCATCTGGATTACAGCCATATYTCACCATCTCATCAAATAAATCTCTGGCTTCCTGAAAACTGCCACTCCTACACTTTGCCCAAATGAGAAGATTGTAATAAGACGTCTTTCTAGCTCTTTCTTCCATCACGAAGATGGCCAAGTCAAAGTAATTTGAACTACAAAGCATCTTGATCAGAGCATAGATGCCAGAATTACGACACGACCCTCCAGCTTTTTCTAACATCTCTACGACTAGTTTCACTGAGCTTCTAGCTGAATCTCCATAACTGCAAAGAGGTAGAAGAAAAGCAAACGCCTTCTCGGTTAAACAAATTCCTTTCTGAGAAAGACTCTTCAGCACAAGGACCATCGACTCGTAGTCTTCTAACCGACCCAGATTATCAACAAGCAGACTCCAAATCTCTGCTGTACGGCCAATATCTGGTTGGGTGTTTCTTACCCGATCAAAGAACCGCGAAGCTGGAAGCCCATCATGGTTAAGGGCCTGAAGAATGTCGCTAATCAAAGCAATAGAAAGCTTTACACCCAACTGATCTAGCCTTACTTCAATGTTATCTTCACCTCCTTTAATCAGCTCAATAATTTCTGCAACTATCAGCTGATTAACATTTGGCTTGTTAAAAGGAATTCTTCGCTTGACACTTCCTCCGCGTGAGTGAGACTTCATACCGCCACTTCTATTGGATTTCTCGAGATTAGATTCTTCCTTAGAAACGTGGGTTCCCAGAGAACTAGAGGTGGAAAATGGCCTGTATACACTATTAACGGAACTCAGAGAATCAAAATCTGTGGCCACACATTTACTAGTGATTCGGAAGTCATTGTTGCTAACGAACACTCCAATCAGTGGCGAAGGAGACGAAAAAGATGTTACAGAAGAGGTCGAAATCGATCGAAATAAACAGCCAAGAGCATGTGAAAGATATAATGCAGGGTTTCGTCGAGTAGAAGAGGGAGGAGAGCTAAGGTTTATGATGGATATTAGGGTTTTATGCGACGGAACGAAGAGACTGGATTGGAGGTAACAGAGAGTATAAAGGTTTAGAGCTTGAGAGTTACCTGAAACCCTGGCGAATACACGAGATTTCCATCCCATAATCATCCGAGCACTGGCTTGTAGCATGGAGGGCTCCGAGTTCTTTTTGGAGTGATCGATCGCAAAACATCTCTGTTTTTAGAAGTTAAAACTCGAAAACCAAAGGAATGACAAATTTCTTAAATTACCCCTAATGTTTTACGAAATTCTACCCTTTACTGTATAAGCATTCTTAATTTTTGTGAGAATTGACTAAGGATCTGTTTGATTCGCAGTTGGAAACGAAATTGGGATGGACCGATGGGAAACAAAATCCTTCGGAATTTGCAAGTGGCCGTAAGGATGGTGTGAGCATGGTTTTATGAGGATGGAATACGACGTTGTGTTTTTAGAGTATTTGCACAGTTTTTGTTTTTAGAAAATCAGATCTGTTATGCAACAACCATCCAAATATGAGATAAGATATCTTGAAACCAAAAGATTAGGATTTGCCCAACAATTGGATTTGGTTCTCACAGTCTATTGCAGTAATATCTCTTCATTAGGGTTGTTCACGGATCGGGTTGGATCGTTTTATTGAGATTTTTCCAATTGATTCGACCTAGTCAGGTTACTTGAAATTGGAACCGAAATCGATCATGTGTTAAGCAAAATCGACCTGATCGGTTTGAGTCAGTTTTGGCTCTAAGTTCAACCATGGTAATAAATTTGTAGATTAGGCGTTGGAAAAGTAGCTAGCAACATCATCCAGCAAGGAAAGGACATAAATTAAGAGAAAGCAGGTCAATAACTTTGTGAAGCAAGAACACCCCCCAATCAAGTTATCAATAAAATATAAAGTCAAACTATATTGGAGAAAGAAGACTGAAATTTGTATATTTCAAGAAACCTTCTAATCTAAATAAAAAATGATACCTAATTCTAATTGTAATTGGTTGCCTATTTGGTGTAAAAGACCATAAAAACTATGATTCTTTGATTATTTTTTTAAACTTTTCCAAAAAAAATTCTTGTCTAGTTGTCTTACAATACTTGCCATTAATATCATTCCTAACTAGAAGACTATAAATTAAGTTAGGTTGTAACTAGGATAAAGACAACTTAGTTAAATAGGAAGTAAGTAGGTTGTAACTACTAACTAGGAACTAACTACTAAGTCAGTTTGATTTGGGTCGGTTTATAATTTTGTACAACCCGAAACCGACCGGTGCTGAAGAAAACCCGGCCAACTCGGGTTGGTCGGTTTGATCAGGTTGGGTCTTCTTATGAACAGCCCTACTCTTCATGAAAATATATATATATAAACCAGTACGGAGATATTCCCAATGCTTGGCTGCAAATGATTGTGAGGACGATTTTATGAAGACCAAATCCAATCTTAAACAAAAAAAAAAGTAAAATTGGGTTGAAGTTGAAATTTGGGTCGGGATTGGGTTAGGGTTACAATTCATTAGTTGGAAACTTGGGCTCCAGCTTGTCAACAAGCCCAGTTATCAGGCGTATAAATGGGTGTGGCAAATTTTTGGCCCTGACTGGGTTGAGAGAAGCATGTTAGGAGTTTGGACTGGACGATGCTAGGCCATTTTCGTTCAAAAATGTAGTTTCATTTTGTTACAAATTTCTAGTATATAAGAAAAAAAAAAGTAAATATAAGTTTAGAAATGAAATCTATCCAACACAAAATATAAGTTTTACAAATTAAACTTATAAAAGATGTGCCAGTGATTGCCTCCTACCACCTGATATGAGACGGCAATTCCATACTTGTTTTGTATAAGCCCAGCCCAAAGATCCTGGACCACATCTAAGCCCAGACCATTAGACCCCCAACCAGGATAGAAGAGAAACTTCCCTTTATTACTAGTCATTCCATTCTGTTCTATTTAGTGTGCCATATCCATCCTTAAATTATGGGCACTTAAATCCTTTTTTTTTTTTTTTCAAATTCCACCCAAGTTATTTCTAGTCTGCCCAATCTCAATCAAAGAGGAAAAGTTATCCTTTTAATTGGATGGCCTGTGGAAGTATATTAGGGGGCCTATAATGGCTGAAGTGGTGAACTGAATGGCTTTAATGCTTTCTCTTTTAAGGCTCTTTTCCAAATTTTGCCACTATTTAGTTTTGCATCCATTGGTTTGTATTTATGATTTGCACTCTTACTCAATACAAAATATGTACCATTTGTCTCATTTCCATTTATTGGCAGTGCAAAATCTTTTCATCTCAAAAACAGATGCAAATTTTCCACCACCTTTCTCCTACCTCAATTCTCTCTCATACAAATTAGGGGCCATATCATTTTGCTTCCTACTTCATCACTCCCAAACAAATAATCCTACTTCTACCTCCATTCTCTTTCACATAAGGTGGGATCACATAATTATACTTCTCATAAACAAATAAGACAAGATCAAATCTAAAACCCCAAAAAAAAATCCAAATTTTACATTCAGCCTATTTGCACTCTTATGAATTTTCACCAATTTAGGCTATGCTTGGTACTATTGTTGTTGTTGTGACTAACTAAAACGTGTTGGATTTCATCAATAGAAATTGATATAAAAATAAAGCAAACGGCTATAGACTTGAATTATTGATATATACATGGACAAAAATAAAGCAACATGCTTGGCCCACGACCTGAGTTGTGGATTTACCCCATGGCCCACGAATTGACTAACATGGACCGAAACAAACGTGGACCAAGTTAGTGCATTGATAAAAATATTTACTTTTTTAGTTAGTGGGCTGACCTAATTATTTAAACAAAATTGGGCCTACATTTTCTTCTCTCCATACATTTTCTGTCCAAAGCCCAATTGTACCACTACGCATTTTTCCTGTCATGGGACAACGACGACATTATGGCTCCAAATGTTATCCGTTTTGTCTAAATTCATGTAATTTTAATGCAATCGTTTTATAACTAGACTAGATAGAATATGGATCCATCCCAATCCAATATACATCATTATCACCTTATTCACCATCTTCTAAGTTTTGTCCCAGTTACATGCGTTTGCCTATTTGGTTGCAACGAAAATGAATTTACATTGATACAAAATTTTATAGTGCAAATGATTTGATTGCAATACAAATAGAGTAAATTAAGATATGAAGCAAAATAAAAAAAAAAATCCAAAATAAAATTAAACGAGAATTTATAGTTTTTTTCATTTGCCTCCTATATATTTGTACTAGTGCAATAGAATTGCACTACAACCAAATACAGCAACATCATAACGGAGCGCTATTGTGATGCATGGCTTCCAGGCCACTTGACAGTTGACACATGGCACTAGAATTGGGTTATGGTGTAACCGTGTAAAGCGTTGCTTTTAGGAAAACATCTGAACATACCAACGAACCATGTTATATTGGATTGGTATGTTAACTGGTTTATTCCAACATTCACATGGAATCAATTCTCACAACCGCCGATTTAGGAGGAAGATGGGGGAGATTATTAGTGTTCTATAGTGATGGTGCGTAATCCGATCAGTCCTATTTGTCAACGTTTTTGCCTCTGACCGGAGAAAAAGGTGTCTGAAATGGGGATGAAAGCGAGTAGTTTCCGGGGAGGAGCTCGGTGAGAGTGCTCCGAATTTCAAGTTAGTATCTTCTCAAAGGCAAGATAAAAGACCAGATAGCGCAAAGTTATCACGTACCTCCATTCTTGGGGGGAAGAGGGCCTCTTATAACCACTTCGCGCACTCACTCCCAGGCTCCTGTCAGGTCAGGTATCATTACCTCTGCACTTCTGCCAGTTCGGGTATCATCACCTCTGCTGGGGCAGACAACCGCCACTGCTCTCTTTGTCAGAGCCGTCTCTATAACGGGAGGTGGCGGTGGCAGGTGGCCGTTGAAGTGCGGCTATCAAGTGTCAGATCCTAAGTTTGTCAGGCACGCCGCCTCATGATACGGACTCCTTTGGTGTCAGGTATGGTTGTTCAGTTCGGCGGCCTGGAAACGAAGTGCCGGAGTGGCGTGCGAGGTGAAGTCTTGAGTTCGGATGGAAGTGTGGTTTGAACTGCCTTGGGGTGGGTCAGTTCGGGTTGTTGCCCTTTGCGCTCTTCGCAAGGCTCGAGCACAAAGGGAGAGTTCGGGATCCTTTTGGGGAGCTTGGGTCACGGGTTCCCCTTGGGGGAGCTCGCGCCTTGAGCACTGCCGTGCCGAGCTGTCGTTCCTGCCAGGTCACCCTCGGTTGCTTCGACGTGTCAGGTGGTCAAGAGGTCGGGCCAAATCTACCTCCATCAATTGCCCCCCACTCCTCGCGCTAAGGGTCTTTGCTTTAGCGCGGGGAGTTCGGGAGGTGATGGGTGGATTTGACCCGTACTTCAAACTGGTTGACTGATGGCGTGAAGTGTGCGTACGTCAGGAGATTTTCGGGTTCCTCGAGCGCCAAAAAGTCAAAAAACGCATTAATTCGTCTTTAAATGTTGGGTGACGTGGCGGTGGGCGTTATTTCAAATTTCAAAAAATGTGCCACTACTGCCGTCAATGCTGGGAGACATGCATCGGCGCCGCTTCAGTTTCCAAAGACGTGCGGCCAGTCACATCTCGGTATTAGGAGGGGTGCGGTCAATTTGGTCGCGAGCCGTTGGATTCGCCTCGATCAGAGCCTTCGATTTTCGGTCACTGTGGGTATAAATAGTGGGGGACCCCTAGTCGCTTTCTATTGTCAATCTCCTGATTTTAGCTCGCGTCCAGATTTTAGCTCGCGTCAACCTTCCGTGGTCCGTTAGCTTTTTCCGGGTGAGTCAGTACTTTCTTCCTGGTCTTCCTTTCCTCCCTATGTCTAGCTCGGACAGCTCAAACAACTTCTCGAGGGGGTTAGATGCAGGTTCCACGAACCAAGTTGCGGCCCCCGGCAGCCTTAATGAGCCCAAGGCGGAGCCCGAAGTAGAGCTTGAGGGAGAGCTCGAGGAAGTGTTCAAACCCGCAGGCCGAGTCGCCTCGGGTAGTCTAGCGTCCTCCTCCTGTCGAGGTAGGACGTTAGACAAGTTTGGGCCTTCAACCATGACGCCCGAGGGGCTATACTCCCTTATCACCCAGTTCAACCTGCCCGGGGAGTATACTTACTCTGTACCCTCGGGTGACTTGCCTTGGGAACACGGTCCGGACGAGATCGTGATATTCCGGGAACAGCTCATCGTCGGGCTGCGCCTTCCTTTCCACCCTCTTATCGTCGAGGTTATGAACCGCTTCGGTGTCACCGTTGGTCAGCTTCACCCGAACTCTATCTGCAACTTAGTTGAGACAATCTCCCTCTTTTGTGAACACATTCTT